GCCCAATACATTTAACAGTATTTAAAAAGAGGAAAAAGAACACCTAAGGTGGGTTATGCCCAAGGCTGCTCATATGTTCATTTATATCCACTCAATATCTCATTTTCGAGAATTCGACTCCATACTTTTCATCAACCTGTCAATAAATCTACAGAGCAAAAAAACGTTTATAAGAAAATAACAACTACAAACCCAAGGGAACACTAATTTATGTAAAGAGACTTCTATGTGATAATGAAGACCATTAGTCACTGAAAAATACAAAAGTCCTATGCTTCTTGCTCACAAAAGGTGAAAATAGGAGCATGAAACACAACCACTACGATACTTTCCTAACAAAATCTCATACTCACATTAGCCCATCAGGCTTAAATATTTTAAATCAGCTTTTAGTAAAGAAATAGAAACTAAAAAACTGTTTGGGGCTGTAAATGTAGAAGTATGCAAGAAGGTCCAAAAAGAAAAGATCCCATACCATTATAAAATGACATGGACCCTTCATCTCTAAGCACATTCAAATCAACCGAGATAAAATATAAGAAATAAAAGCACAAAATATCATATAAACATACCACTTTCTAAATGATTAAAATGAGTAACTCGTAAATTAGAAAGATTGTTGTACATCTATCGTTGTTTTGTATCTGACAATTAGACATATGAATGGACCGGATACAAATGTTCTTACCTCCACATTTTGTCATAATCTTGATTCATTTCAAGCTCTTTCAGAAGTCGGCGATCCAGAAGCACTACAATGCAGTAACGTAGTTCAAAAGAAAATATTTCAATTCTTACTATCATTGATAAAATAATGTACTCCAGTCTTTAAATACTAAAAAATGACTATGAGCAACATAGCTGGTGAGGCCAACTTTAAGGCTATAACGGGGCAGCTCATGTGCCTAATGAACATAAAAATTTGTAGGTGCACTGATGTAGATTTTTATGACCTGCATAAACCCACACTGAAGCTACTCTGAATTAGAATCAAACGACTTAGGTAGCATAAAGCTCACAATTAACATTAAAAGCCCTAAAACAAACTCAAAACCAAAAATATCAACAGTATAGCTATGAAGTCAGCCCTTACCATATAAGATTCCAAGAACAAGGGTACATACAACAGCCTTCACAACCACCCATATGAATGAGCTTTTTGTTCTTTTGTATAGTCCTGAAATGCCCATAAGAACAACCACGATGATTTAGAATGAAGAAAATCTTCACAAAAATTACGGTTCATCCAGCTCATGCAGCTCTTCTTCCAAAATCTGATGAACCCTAAAAAACCACCTCTGACGAAGAAGGGAATATGGTACAATATTTTCATAAACTCACCACTGACAACTCGCGAAGTCCGGCCAGATCTGGAATTCGACCGCGAATTTAGGGTGGAAGCCAGAGGGGTAGGGGATCGCGCCGTCCATGGGGTCCTAGGTGTTCCTCTCAACGGGGAGGAGCGTGATGTTGCGCATTGCCGCCATCTCAGCTGGAGCCCCGGTCGGATTCTGTTTTGTCGGAAGTCCCTCGCCGAGTGAACGGAAGCGGCAAGAGGGAAATCACTGTATGTATAAGCCGCTGGCCGTCGCACCGCCGCATATGGCCGAAGCTGTCGAGTGCCCCTGCTCACGCACATCGTCTGTGGATCTTCGCTGTCTTCACAAATTTTGAAGGGTTGTAAATTCGGAATGAAATTGGGCGAGGGTAGGAGAAGGGTATTCATATTTCAGAAAAATGAGGTTTTGTCTTTTAGATTGGAAAACATGTGAGGAAGATGGGCAAAATCGAAAAAATCAACATGCCATTCCAGAATTTCGGGCAAGAAATTTTCTAATCACAGTATCTGAAAATAAGGGTAGCAGGAAAGACCAAACTTTTTAAAAAAGGGGCAAGCAATTGTCTAATCACTATGCCTGAAAATATGGGGAGCAGGAAAAACCGACCTTTTCAAATGGCATTTGTGTAACTGTTATATGAGCAGGGGCATCATTTGTAAAAATAATGGACATTTAGGGTATTTTGGTCCCAAAAAGCCACATGTCAAGCCTACAATCTCTCCCACTTGTTGGCTGATATGTATAGTAGAGATATAAAATTAACAAAATTATTTGTTTTGTGTATAAAATTTATAAATTAAAATGTTAATGGGCCAGGTCAACCGGGTTGACCCGGCCGGGTCAAGGCCAAGTTGGCCGAGTTTTGACCGGGTTTGACCAGGTCCTTTGTTGCCCGGTCTAAATACCCCATCCGGACTTGTTCTGGCTCCAGGTAGACTGGGTCCTGGATCGACCCGCCGGTCCGGTCCGGGTCAAAAAATTATGGTGTACAATGATGTTCTTAATAATATATTATTTTTTCATAATGAATATTTTATGATTTGACAATTTACATACATAATATCATTATTTTATTTATTAACACATTTTAAATAATAATATTCTCCAAAATAAATACAGCTCGTGCATTGCACGAGTTACGTACTAGTAGAGATAAACATAAAAGTTGATAAGTAGAGATAAGTATAAAAAATCACCATATATTAAATAAATGATAAACCCAAATATCGTGAAACAAAATCTTTAGAAATCAGTATGAATTGCAAGAACTTGACCTACAGAAATAGGCAAAGAAAGCTGCGAATTAGTGGCGTTAGATGTAAAGGCTAGGTGCGAAACTAGAAAATTAGTTGAGAGGGGGTAAAAGACATGACATAATAAACTCAAGATTGAACCTTAATGGGTTTAGAAACGATACCGAACTAATAACATTTCGATAATTAATTTTCGGTTATTGTACTACACATAAGTCGGTTCGATTTATTTTCTCATCGGTTCGACCGGTTTTCAATTAAAAATACCAGCCCTAGAAATAAAAGAGAGTTAAAGTCTTCAGTGATTTTTTTTTTTAGCCATTTAGATTTGTATACCACAAATTTTGGCCACATTTTTAATAAAACCTCTTTTTTAGCCATTTTGGCACTTAAAATGTCAAAAAATACCCTTACTACATTTTTTTTAGAAAAATAATCTCTCTCTTCTCTCATCTCTCTTCTCTCTTCATTCACTTCCTCTTCATTCATCAATTTTATACACTCATCTAAAAAAAAATCAATCTCTTAAAAAAAATCATTTTCACTACATGCATTCCGGCAACATTTCGGTGATATCTCGGAAAAATTAGTTTAAAGGTATTGTTATAATTTATCTTCTTTTTAATGGGCCATATATATATATATATATATATATATATATATATACTATTCAAATTAATAAAATGAATATGGCAAAAAAAAATTGTAGAATAGATTTCTTGGAAAATTGAATGGTTTCTGGGACTAGAAATCACATTTCTGACCCAGAAATCGATTCCCAGAAATCGATTTCTGACCCAGAAATCACATTTCTGACCCAGAAATCGATTTCTGGATAGTTTCATTTCTTGTCCTAGAAATCAATTTCTGACCAGAAACTGATTTCTAACCCAGAAATTATATTTCTTACCCAGAAATCGATTTCTTAATAGTCTCATTTCTTTTCCTATAAACCAATTTCTGACCCAGAAATCAATTTCTAACCCAGAAATCTCATTTTTGACCAAGAAATCGATTTCTGGATAGTTTCATTTCTTGTCCTATAAATCGATTTCTGACCCAGAAGTTGATTTCTGACCCAGAAATCATATTTCTGACCCAGAAATCATATTTCTGACCCAGAAATCGATTTCTGGATAGTCTTATTTCTTGTCGTATAAATCTATTTCTGACCAAGAAATCAATTTCTAGCCCAAAAATCCCATTTCTGACCCAGAAATCAATTTCTGGATAGCCTCATTTCTTGTCCTAGAAATCGATTTCTGAACCAGAAATCAATTTCTAACCCAGAAATCCTATTTCTGGCCCAGAAATCGATTTCTGGGTAGTTTCATTTCTTGTCCTAGAAATCAATTTCTGACCCAGAAATTGATTTCTGACCCAGAAATCGATTTCTTGATAGTCTCATTTATGCCTAGAAATCAATTTCTGGCCCAGAAATCAATTTCTAACCCAGAAATCCCATTTCTGACCCAGAAATCAATTTCTGGATTGTCTTATTTCTTGTCCTAGAAATCATTCTATAAACCATTCTATTTGTTTTATTATAAACATTGATTACTTAGTGGGACCATTGGAAGACCCAGCAGCAGACCCTTTCGACTCAGATGGGCTCACATTTCCACGACGTCACTGACGGTCTCCGGTCCATTCGCGAGCGACAGGACCAACAGGATACTCGCATGGACAGTTGGGATCATATGTTCACCCAGTGGGACACCCGTTGAAACTCCGGAGCCGGTCAGCCCTAACCGCCACGACCACCTCCGGACTCACAGTGTTAATGCTTCGTTGGACATGAATGATTGTAGTTTTACTTTAATAAATGAGTATTGATCATTTTCTTTGTTGGATATGAATGTTGATGTTCAAATGTTGATGATTCGCTAAATTCGTTTCGGTTCGATTTCGTTTATATTGCATGTTAATTGCTCAAGATAGTGTGGATTAATCAAACAAAATATTTGGTCCAAATGCAAGATAGATGTCCAAATGCAAGATAGATGTAACCTCAAGATAGAAGTAAGCCCAAGATAGATGTCAAATATTAGGTCTAAAATGCAAGATAGATGTAACCTAAACGGTCCTCAAAGTACCAAATACATTACAATTTGCAATAGCAGTACACAACAAAAGCCACAAAAAATTACACTAATTTGACTCGGGAATACTATGAGCACAAACATCCAATATCAAACAGAGACAAGAAAGCAGTAGCACTGGCATCTAAAGTACCAAACACACCATAATTGTCAAAGTACCAAATACACTATAATTGGCAATAACAGTACTACATAACATTACATTGTTTAAAGACCCGGAAAATGGCACTGGTGGAGGCTGAACCATCAAGTCGAACTCCAATCCGAGATGGTGATTACGGGCAGACTTTTCCTCCTCTAACCGATCAGATTACGGGCTTGACAGGAGTGAGTTTGGAGAGATTTTCGGAGTAACGGCTTTTTTCGTCTTGATAGTGAAGAGGAGTTTTAAACATACGAGAGATACTGAAAAATAAAACATGTTATAGTTTAGAGACATTAGAGACGAAAATAAATAATCTGATAAATTAAACTAGATTTCAACATAACTTGAACACCAAAAATCTGAAATTCAACAAAAGATATTAAACTAAGAAAAAAACTCACATAATTAGATAAATTACTCCAGCAAAATGCAAAAACTTACCAAATGTGTAAGCACTAGGATACATAGACTTCTCAGAGGGAGATAACCCTCTGAGAACTAGGACACATGGATCTGAATCCTGATCGATTATAACTTTAGGTGTAGGGACCACATCAGTCTCCTGAGAACTCCCATCATGTTTTGACAGCTCCAAATCAATCAATTGTAATAATGTCATCAACATTCAAATTACGAGTCCTTCAATTACTAGGAATATGAGTTCCACATTTTCGACTTAGTACATGCTATTCAGAGTTTAAGAGTCTCAAACAAAATGTTTCACACAATTACCCAAAAATAAAAATGAGATACTCATATTGCAGGACTTCAACAACTTTTCTCTCGAAATGTCCGAATAACTAATGCAACTTCTACATGCAAAGCATCCCACTTTTATACTCATTTTAGCCTTTGCAAGGAACAAATGTTTTTTAGATGAAATAGGAAACATTAATTGATGTTTGATGCAGTAGCCGGTGATGCTTTCGGTATGAATCGACCAGTGGCCGAGTGGCCGATGATAAGCAGACACAATACCAAAAGCACAACAACATAAAAGGCACTAATGATTAGAGAACCTAATACTACATTCCCAAGGTCCAATTTACAAAACCAGACAAATATCAAACATCAATTATAAGTCAAAGACATAAAAATTCTAAAAACATTTTTATACAAAAACCTATGAATTAATATCCAAAATTAAAAGTTCGACTCGTATTCGAAACCCAAAATAGAGGAAGAAACATACATATGTTTTAAGACAACACCAGAAATCCAGAATGACAATCAATGAGTAATGACATAAACTCAATAAACCAATCAAATCCCCTCCAATTCTCAAACAAATAATTACCTTTCTCGGATTGTTTCTGTGTATGTTAGGGTGCACTCCTCAGTAAGCCCGCAACAATAGCATCTCGCAAAGTCCACCTCGATTTGGCCCGACATCATACTCACAAGCCCGTTAACAGGAGGCACGTTGGGCTCGGGCTCTATACCCATAGAATCACTTACTACAATCGACATCCCTAAAATCATAACACAAACAAATCACAATAAAATCAAAGAATTTTGACAAAAAAATCAACATAACACAAAAAAATGAACTAATTTAAGAAGAAAATGAAAAAATAGCAACTGAAAAAGATCAAAATTGACTCGATAGCGCCGCCAGCCTCTCCAACGTAATCCTTACCAACAGCGGCCGCATCGAGCCACCGGTCGTCCACCTCACAAATGACTAGAACCAGTTCTCGAATGGCCACGCCTTCTACCCCGCCCGGATCCCCTTCAAACCGTTGCCCGACTACACGAACGTGCGGCGATGTTTACGGCCACTTCGGCTTCTTGATCCTTCCCAACACCGCCACAAACCGGGCTTCAGCCTCGCCTTGAGAAGAGAAATGGAGTTAGTAGGTAATTTTTTTAGCACAAAAAGGAACTAATTTCTTGCTCTGAAAATCAGTACATAACTTTATAATCCCCAACATAAAATTTCAGTAACAACATTGCTTGCCACAACATAAGAGCACAACACGAACTCCCAATTTCAAACCTCAACCACTCAATTAGTAGTCTAAATTAGACATTTTCATCTTCTCGAATCATTCTATAGTTTATAATTAAATAAAGAGAGAGAGACCTACAAATATCAGATAGCCTTGAGCAGATCCTCGGCGCTGCTAATATTGAAATCCCCTCCTTGATCCAGATTCAGGTCCTTCACGACTCCATCCTCAACATATATGGCGTACCTCTTCGATCTAATCCCCAAGCCCGCTGGCTTGTCGCTTAAATCGAGTTGGCACCCAATCGCCTGAGTTAATCGACCATTGTCGTCGCTCAACAGAATCACCTCGTCCCCGATCTTCAGATCCGCCTTCCATGCCTTCATGACGAAGGCGTTGTTCACGGAAACACACGCGATGACGTCGATTACCTTGGCCTTCAACTCGGCGACCTTCTCCACGAACCCTGGGAGGTGCTTCTGTGAGCAGGTGGGATTCAGACGTGAGGGTTCGATTGTGAAGTGTGGAGGGGGGACGGTGTTGCCTTGCCGTGAAGATGAATTTTTGGAGATGAAAGCGAATTCAATTTTTTCGAACGATGTCTCGGTTTTTTTTCAGATCTGAAAAATGAAAAATGGAAGTGAATTGAATTGGGGAAGAGAAAATTAGTTTAGAGGTAGAATAGTTGAAGGGTATTTTAGTATTATCACATGTCAAAATGGTTAAAAAAAATGTTTTTTACAAAACATGGCTAATATTTGTGTTTTGTAAATTTATTTGGTTATTTAGTAGTATTAACACTTCAAAAAATGCGTCATACCTCCTTGTATTATACTTTTGATTGCGCGTTATCCCCTAAACCGTCTAACTTGACGGATGTGCATTTCACGCGCGTGTGGTGTTACTTTTTCTCCATTTTTTCGCCATAAACTCAGGGAAATGACTATTTTGCCCCTTAATACCTGAATCAAATCGCAATTAATTTAAACTTCTGAAAATTGCAAAGCAGCCCCTCACTTTAATCAAATTTTCAAATCAAGGTTCTGCAACATCAAATTCAAAACCCTATTTCACGCAGCTTGCTCGCCAATCACAGGTAGTCGTCGTGTTCGACCTCCGGCAAGCCATCGCCGCCCCAGGCCGGCATATTCTCGCCGGAGTTTTCGCCTGCGGTCAAAGCTGCGATTTTTTATTTTTTTATTTTTTTTTTATATGTGTGTCTGCCATTAATGGCGGACCTTCGAGCTCCAAGCTCGGATTCACGCCGAGCGCGACAGTGGCGAGAGGTCTGATGGCCGACGATCTGTACGGGATTCTAAATCCCAGAATTCATTTTTTTTTTTAGTGTGTCCGCCATTAATGGCGGACGAGCTCGAAGCTTGGGTAAGGGAAATCTGCAAAAAATGGACATCCCCCTCCTCATTTTTTTTCTCCAGTAAAAAATGAATTCTGGAGATCGAAGCTTGGGTAAGGGAAATCTGCAAAAAATGGACATCCCCCGCCATTAGTGTGTCCGCCATCTGTACGGGATGTCCATTTTTTCTCCATTTACTTACTGTAATTGTTTGTTTCTGAGGGCATAACGGGAAGTTAAGCAAAAAATTAACGGGGTTAACACGGAAACGAGGAGGGGGGAGCGTGCGCAATCAAAAGTATAATACAAGGGGGTATGGCGCATTTTTTAAAATACAAGGGGATAAGGAGCAGATTTCGTATAATACAGGGGGGTTTGGCGCAATTTACCCTTTTTTATAGAGCATATGTAAGAACTATATTTAAAACAAAAATATGACCATTTTATCTTCAAAATCCTATTTTTAAGGAAAAATCCTAAAATTTCATTAAAAATAAGCTAATAATTGTTGACGTACGTTGGATTGAAGAGGGGAGTGCAATACCAATACCAAGTACTTTCAGAGGTTTGTGAGTATATCAATTGTATCTGGGACATGGGTCATCACTGACTCAGGAGTCCCAGATACGGGAGTTGGGCGTGGCACACTTTCAGACTCTCACTTCTGACATGGACTTGCTTGTGCCCACAACGCTTATCTTTTTCCCATCATCCCTCAGTCGGCCGACCTTGTTAACCTTTGCGAGCTCCCCAGCAGAGATAAGATTAGGAAGACTGTTTTTCGGATTAATCCCAACGTCGTCTTTGGCCCAGATGGCTTCTTATCTCTTTTCTATCAGGCCTGCTAGGAACTCATTGAGTTTGATGTTGAGGAGGCACTGTTGGATTTCTTATCTGGTCACCAGATGTTGGAGTCTTTCACGACTACCTCTGCCATTTTGATCCCCAAAAAACCCTACCAGAGCTCTTGGTCGGATTAAAAGCCTATCAGCCTCTGTAATGTGACCAACAAGCTCGTTTACAAATTCTTAGTGGGCATTTTGGTCCCCTCATTCCTTCTCTCAACTCTTCGAATCAGAGTGTTTCGTCAAGGATGGGGTCATTAGTGATAACATCCTTCTGGCCCATTAGATGAGTTACGATATCTCCCATGCGAATCGGTTGCGAGTCCTGAACCTTGCGTTGAAGTTAGACACAAAGAAAGCGTATGATAGGGTCGAGTGGCCTTTTCTCAAGGAGGTACTGATCCGGATGGGCTTCCCTAAGGGGTGGATCAGTTTTGTGGAGGCGTATGTGGAGCATTGCACGTTCTCGGTTTTGGTTAATGGTAGTCCCACTGATTTCTTCTCTTCTTCTCGAGGCCTCTGACAGGGGGACCCCCTCTTCCCCTCCATTTCGTTATGGCAGCGGACTACCATTCTCGTTGCCT